CAGCGCCTTGTACAACGGAAGCAGGACATCCTTATCCCTACTAGATATGAGTCCCTTGTTAGCAGGGCTGACCTTTAGTCAGATGGAGAAATCGTTAGGTTTCAGTAAAAATGTTTCTAGCCCCTTTGTTTGTGAAGACAGCCTTGAAAACATAACCTGACATAAAGCAGTGAAAGAGATACACATATAATCTTAATCTTACTTTATATAAAAGTAGTCAGTTAAATTTTGGGATGAATGCCAAAGACTCATCAATGGTACACAGTGGTGTGATCATGGTGAGTGGGAGTTGGTTTTGTTAGGAGTGGGAGCTCACTAGAAATAATAGCAGGCTCTGTTTCTTAAAATGTGTAGCCACCTGAGGCTGAACTGTCTGCTTCTCATTCAGACTGTTGCCACACCATGGTTTTATCCCCCCACCTCTCACCTTGCTGTCTCCTGTGTCTCCTCCTCTGCTCCCCAGCACCACTAAAAATCACACCCACCCATTTTTCAACCACTCCAGCAGTTCATGAGGATGAGGAGGGAAGGAGGCAGGCCAAGTGGCTGCGACATTGAGAGAGTGTCCACCTCTCTTCTACTGCCAGAGCCAGTAAGCAGGTGAGAATCTGGAACTCCCTAGTCCAGCAACAGAGAGGACCCAGTAGGACAAGTACAGCTAGAGACTGTAGGACATCCACCTTTCCCATGACCAGCCACTCAAAGTCAGAAGCTACAGGACAATTTGCCTGTCATCATCATGTGTAAGGAACAGTTACCTGGTAGAGAAGCTAACAAGAACCACCTCAATGAGGTGCTGGGGAGTTGGAAGCATGGAAAGTTGAATGGAGAATAAATAGATGGAATAAGTAGATGGAGAATAAGTTGATGGAAGAATAATTAGATTAAGAAGGAGGGAAATATCATGGAAATGATGCATTTTTTGTGGGTGAGGGGGAAAGAAGAATACTAGAATGATGGATTTTGCTGGAGGGAATAATATTTGGCATAGAAAAAACATCCTATATATGACTGAATGAACTCGAACATTGAAGGGTACACACTTTGTTAAAATTTTGGCAGCATATAATTGACTTTTTTCTCTGAAATGACAGGGTACTGGATATTTATCTATTATCATTTCACTCTCTAAGAGAAAGAATATTTTTGAAAGGCAGAAAACTGAAATAACCAAAATTATTTCATGGGATGACAAAATAACATCACCCTCCTTCATTCTGACTCTGTGAAAACCCCTGCATGCTGTCTCTGTGAGAAAAGCCAGGTGTGACAGAGCAGAGATGAGACTGAGCTAGGAAAAAACAGGTGTCTTCAGCACCATTCTCCCTGCAAACCTACAGTGTTGGCAGAGACCATGTTTTCATTTTGCCTTCCTCTGCAGCATGGGGCACTTGCCAATTTGAATTAGAGTAAATGGTGGATTCTCTGTAGCTTGAAATCTTTACATCGAGAGTTGAGGACTGCTGTTATTCAGCCAGAGTTTATGGGCCTATTGCAGCAGTGGATGGATGAGATTCTATAGCCTGCAATGTACAGGAGGTCAAACTAGATGATCATAATGGTTCCTCCTGGCCCCAAAGTCTATGAGGGTTTCTCTGCATTACTAGATTCTGCCCTTTATTTTGTGTGGTTCCTGCTCTGTAAGGATGGAGCAAGAAGGCAGTCTGTATTGGGCTAGGGCAGAGACAGAAAGGAGGACGACGACGGGAAGGATGGTCCAGTGTTACGGCACTAGCCTAGGACATGGGCGACCTGGGCTCAATTTCTATTCTGCCACAGTCTTCCTTTGTGACCTTGGGCAAGTCTCTCTGTGTCTCAGTTGCCCTCTGTAATAGTATCTCCCTATCTCACAGGTTTGTTGTGTGGATTAAAGATTGTAAGGTGCTCAGATACTATGGTAACGGGGGCCATATAAATACCTAAGATAGATAGAACATGTCTGTGGCAATATAGCTCCTGTGATAATCATGCTATCATTGGGGAATGGAAGGGGTAAGAACCAGTGATTACGTCTCTAGGGTTGGCAGTTCATTGCCCTAGGCTTGCCACATCAGATATGAAAGTAAAAACCTAATTGCTTGAACCCCAGCACCTCTTTCATTACAAATTAAGCACTGGCAAAAAGAGTAGCAAAACAGGAAAAGGCCTCTGTAAATCTCTTGTCCACTCTGTATGGAAACCCCATCCATACTTAATCAGAGAGAGTCATAGAACTGGAATTGAGAGGTCATCCAGTCCAGTCCCGTGCACTTGCGGCAGAACTTATTATCTATACCATTCCTGACAGGTGTTTGTCTAACCTGCTCTTAAAAACTTAATGTAACTTCATCCCGCCAGATAGATGATTTCCGGGAAACACCACAAGCTGAAACAATTTCCTGACCCTCCCCACAGATTCTTCATAAATGGGCATGGTCCAGCCCACTTATGCTTAAAAGACAAAGGACTACAAGTTTTAAAAATGATTTTAAAAATCATAAGTTAAGGGAAAAACAAAGTAACTGCATATATTGGCCAGGAATACCAAGAATATTTCCCCTATTTAATGATTTATGCCTTCATACCTCCAGGATCTATTGAGGGTAACCGGAAGGCCTGTTTGCGCTCTCTCTGGGAATTTGGAGGCCTTGCTCTGGTAATATGGATGTTAGCATCTTCTAGGGATGAGTGGCCCTCCATCTCTCTTTGCAGCAGTGGAAGTCAGAAATGTTGTGCTGGATTCTACTGCTTCTGTCTTTGCAGACAGAATAATGCTGGGACCAGGATGCTTTAGAGTATACCCTGGTTTATTCTTAAATCTCTGACCTTGCATAGTTTTCATACAATCTCTCAAATTATTTAGTATCTCCTGGTTATGGATCTCAGTATACTATACTAAGTTTTACAGCTCTCAATGATCCTTTCCTTTAAAGTAAATAAACAATACTTCCTGTGAAAGTGAAAAACCATGAAATATAGGATTCAAAAAAGTTTTTAGGTGTAAAACAGGAATAAATATTTATTAAAAACAGTTTTATGTTTATTCCTGTCATATATAGTATCAAGTTTATTAAAAGGCAGAAATTATATATTTGAATATAAATGAAATCCTTAACTTGAAAAATAAATGCACATTACAAAATGGATTGCCGTTTAAAAAAGGGCAACTGTTTATCCTAATTTTCATTTAGATTTGACAAAATAAAACTTTCCTTAAGAGAGGATACATTTGTGCAGCTTAGTAATGAGTTGTTCCTGTTGCAAACCAAAACTACCTTCACGTGAAACTACAGTATGCTATGTATCTATGCCTCCGCCAATTACTCACATTCTCATAGAGGGCTTGAAGGGTCTCTAGGTCAACCACAGAGTTGTCCAAGTTCACAACAGCTGTGAAAAAAAGACAAATGTGAAAAAGAATTAGTTGTCAAGATGATAATCCAGCAGTGAAAGACACATTGAACACAATACCCAGCAATAGCTTTTATGACCCCACTGGTCATACAGCTTAAGGGTTTTAACTTTATTAATGCCTTGAATAGTGCCGTTTCTAGGAACCTGGTAGAGCCAGGTGACAAGTGTTAAAGAATCCACTCCCTCCCCCAACACACACACACACGATCCCATGAGTATGGCCAAAGCCAAAGATCAGAGATAAGCTTCACATCAGACTTTCATGGTCTGACTGAAAGCATTATAAAAATTTGTAAATCTGTCCCCCCCCCCACTCCACACACACACACAGCTCATTCCTGTCACTGGTTGGTTTCAGACTTAAATTGGTTAATCCACAAATCAGCCAGTTAACTTCAAGACACCTGACAAGGGTCAAATCTTCTATGCACTAAGCCAACAGGTTTAGTACGATACAAAATATGCCTTTCCTGTTCCCAACCAATGCTGGTGCCACATACATACTGTACCTTTTCAATGTCAAAAATCTGACTTAACTGCACACAGAGAGCAATTTCAGATCAACCTGACCTTTGAAAAAAATATGATAAACAGGGGCATTGATTTGCTGTGATCACTGGAAAAACTATGAAGTGGAAGTAAAGGTACTAGGCATATTTCATATTTATGCTGGTCAGCGAAGAATCATTCCAAATTAATATGAATATAAAATTATTCATATACAATTATTTAAAACCTGGTAAACTGCATTTTTTATTTTTATAAGCTTACAATCCATGTCATTGGAAAGCAAAGTAAAATTTTGTTTTCCACACACACACGATATTCTGAATGTTATGCATCAGGGATTCTTGTAATAATAAATACTTTTACTGCAATATTTTATCTTTTGCCATTTTATCCTTTATTTGACTGGTTTTTTGTGTGTGTGATTTTTTTCCCCTGTATACATATCTGTCTGCTAGCCAGAATAACCCTGGGACAAAACTACTCTAGAGATCAGGCTGGTGATCAGTGACGGAATCCCAGTATCTGATTGCTTGATCCTCTATAAATCAGTGTCCTTGACTGTCACTAAGTGATTCTGTGTATACACCTCAAGATTACAGACAATATAATTCAAACTCATTTGTTTCTCATTGCTCTAAAGCATTCAATGATACCACTTAGTGTCTGGGACTCATCACATTTTCCCCTTACAGGTCTGGAACTTAATTTTAGTTACAGTATAATAAAAGAATATATAAATAAAGAAAGATTGATCTTGATTAAACCGAGCAGGGTCCAGTGTATATGTATGGACAGAGTTTTAGCAGATGAAAAGAATGGGAACTTATTTGGAAATGTGCTAACTTTCCAAATAAATAAAAATTAACTTTTTAGTTTTTCCGTATCAAACATAATATTTTCTACATACATGTTCCCTTGCCCCTCCTACCCTACCTGCCAAGTACCCACCATCTAAAATGTTTTAGAAGCCCAAATTTAATGCAAAATGTAGTACTATAGAGGATAGTGAAAGATGTGAAAATATATTAAGGATTTTACACAAAATAATGGTAAAATTGAGCTGAATGCCAATATTTTCCCTTTTCATTTAAGAACTTTTTAAAATGTCAAATACATTAAAGAGCTAATTTAAACTAGCAAAACAAGGAAATACATATTTAACAGCTGAAACTTAAATACACCTGTAAATCAGCTGATGACAGGGTGGCAAACATTCCTTGGGGATACTTGTTCTTGTTTAACACTCCACATTGTAATATTTATTCACAGAATTAAAAATGTAAATGACAAAGTGTTACAACAGGCACTCTAATGCAACATTTCAGCAAGGTATTTAAGCACATACATGTCTTTAAGCATATAAATAATCCTATTGGCGTCAATAGGACTGTTAACATGTTTAAAGTCGTGCATGTGCTGAAGTATCTTGGTGAATCAAGGATTAAAAATCAATAAAAAGAAAAAAATGTGTTCAGATTCTGCAGTGTAGAGATTTCTACACATTGTTTGAGCTTGTACACCAGTGGGGTATTTACACACACACACACACACACACACACACACGCATAGATAGATAGATAGATAGATACACACACATCCAACCCAAACCAAGGTGTATTATAGACCTACATTTAACTGCGTATCTGATTTTTGCTTTTACAAGTTAGTGTATTTATACTGTATGCAAACGCCACAACCCTTTAGTCATTCACTTTGACTCAATGGTTATCTTCCACTACCCCCGCCCCCGCCTCAGAGACTGTCTGCTTCTGAACTAAGAAATATGGCACAAGTTCCTGTTCTGACTTCTTCCACAATGTTAAGATCACCCATGGATTACTTAGAGAGCAATAGAACACTTTTGTTTGAATGCTTGCCTGAGATAAGAGAATGCCTGGCAAACACAATGGTGCCAGGTCTGTGTACTTTCAACAAAACAGGTATGCAGAAGAGCGTGCATATTTCAGGGAGCCGCTTAAAACAAACCAGTCTCAGAGGACTACAGACAAGGATTTAAAGAACTTAGCTCCTAGTGCGTGCGTGTGTGTATATATATCTCACTCCAAAGAAAATGATAAAACTAAATATACAGTACCTACATGCACATATATACTGATCACTCTATAAAATCCCACTAGGATTTTTTCAACATAATTTTTTTTTCAGGAAATAAGATTATAAATTGAATAATGTAAGAGGATCATAAAAAACACCTCATGTCCCCTCAACAATACTATTCTCTATTTATGAACTCAAATAATCATATAAACAAGAACTACTGTAGTTGAGCATCTAGCTCCATTACCCAACATTACCTGCTTTGAGCAGGCGGTTGGTCTAGATGACCTCCTGAGGTCTCTTCCAACCCTAATATTCTATGATTCGAACATCTAGAATTGCAAGATAAAGCACCCCCAAAATCCCATATATGATGGTCAACTCAGTAGTGAAAACACAGACAAACACCAACTCCTCCTGGGTGGCTGGGGAGGGCCTGACTGAGATGAACTACACAGTTCTAGTGTGTCAGGCTTTGGGCATTCCTCACAGGGATGCTATAGTCAATGGACACTATGGTGCTCAGTTCCACAATGATATCTGACTGTCCCAGCAAACAAATCTTGGGCTGGGGTCAGGGGAAAATCAAATCATGCAGCGTATTTTTAATAAGTCGTTCCAATCACAAAAGAAACACCCCTCTCCCCAAAAATCATCTCCTGTCTTGACTATTGCAAAATCCTCTTCACTATCCTCCGTGAAACCGATTCCATGCCTCTTCAATCCATTCAACGCACAGCAGTCAATGACATCTCCCCGATGCATCACTCTGATGTAACCACACACCCTGCCCTTTTCATCCAATGGTTATTTGTTTTCCATCAAAATAAAGTTTCTAGTCCCATCTGTGTACCTAAGGTACTTACATGGCAACAATTGCCATAGTATCTGAGCACCTCACAATCTTTAATGTATGTATCCTCAACATTCCTGTGAGATAGAAAAGTAACTTTTTACACATGAGGATCTGAGGCAGGAAGGGGCTAAGTGAGTTGCCCAAGGTCACACATTAAGTCTGTGGCATAGCCAGAACTCAACCCATGTTTTCCAAGTCCTAGGCTAATCCCCAAACTATAGAATCATCCTTCCTCTTTCCTATTCTCAACCTCAAGGTCCTACACAACTCTGTCTCTCTCTGCTTATACAATCTGGTCTCTTTTTCTTACCCATCTCCACTACTCTGCCAATGTTGCCAGCTTTGAATGCTAACTTCTCTGATTCTACAAAGGTCTCAGTGTCTCTTTCCATACTGCCCTTTATGCATGGCTCATACTCCCTAAATGAATCTGTAAGCTTTCTTGTTCATGTTCTCAAGACCCATTGTCATCAATAGATCTTTATGAATCAATTATTAATGATAGCTAGGTTGAGAAGCAGTTGGGGATATAGGACATTGAATTTATTTTTACATGATTCCGAGCCACCAAGCATGCCCACAGATGCACTGCAAAACTGTATGATCTTACCTATCCTCCCACCCTTCAGTCCCTCTTATTATTTGTCACAATCCAATTAAAAACCTCCATGTAACAAAGTGTAAGATCTTTGGGGCAGGGACCATGACTTTCTGAATGTTTGCACAGTCTGTATTATAATGGAAGGAGTTCTATTTATGCATTACAGGAGAGTAATAGTAAAATAAATAATGCAAATGAATACATTAATTGAAAACATCAAGCAAGCCAACTGTGTACCATTTTCAAAGCAAGGACTACAGAGTGTGTGAACAAACAGCCGGACAAAGACTTGCTGCAACAATTAATACTGCTTATTTTGTGAAGATGAATCTAAAGTCACCAGCAGCTAACTTGCATAATTTGTCAGAGAAAGATATTTTTGAAAAACTGGTCAAAACTTGGATTTTGCACGAAATTCTAACATTGTCAAGTTCTCTTTCATCCCAAATCATAACAAAGAATTGAAAGTTTTAAAGTTCCTGCAGAATGAAATCTCAATATGATCTTATAAAAATGCTTTGTTTCAATAAAGTCAAAGCGCTTCATTTAGACTTTATCATTGACTTTTATAGACTATTACATTTGCTAATATTTGGCACACCATTTCCTCTCCCTACAATAGTTATTCCAATGGCAATACTGAGTTGGCTGTCAAAAAATAATCTACTCAAAGAATAATAAAAGTATATGGCAAGGCAAACTTAAATAGCAAAAAGATAAATAAAACAGCCCAGTGCATTGTTAGATATACTTTAACATCTATAGCTAGCTTATTGCTAAAAACTGAAGCAGTGGAATGTTTACAAACCAAAGAGGGAAGAAAAAAAATAAACACAAAACAGCAACAGGGTACGATGATCGATATACCAAAGACCTCCCACAGTTACAAGTAAGAGAGAAGTAAAATTGTTTCCTCAGCATAGATGGGAAATAGGAACTCTGAATAGAAGT